ATCAAGTTTCTTATTTAAAGATGACATAGCAAGCAATCGAATTATTAGTTACACGATGAATGTGAGTAATCTTGGTACCATAACGTTATTGGCTATTTTAAAAATTGCATTAGGAAAATTGCATTAGATGAGAAATCTAATGCGGAAAATATTTTCTGTAGATATTCCTCTAGATCTATCTCGGTAAGCTCATCTGTCGGTAATCGAATATTTTCTCGGAAGAAGATTATCGATATCTTTTTCTTCTGTGCGACATTGTAACATTATTGTGATCGAATTTAAAGGTTTCGCGTAAATCTGCTAAAAGAGGGGATAATACCTAATGAAATTATTTGTGGTTCCGAAATATTCTAAGACAGTAGCACTGTTACTAACCAAGTTTTATCTGCTATTTTTTTTTTTTTTTTTTTTTTTTTTTTTAAATTTGGAATAACATTTCGGCTTTATGAGCTTTATTTGGAAGCAAATGTGAACCATGAACGCAGAATGTCCACTTAATATTGAAAGGAATTGTAACTGCTTTTGCATCAATTCATTTAAATTCATTTATTTTTTAAGATCTTTTATCATTTATCTGCTAACAACTTAAAAACTTATCTTAAGCTTTCACGTTGCTGTCTCAAATGCTTAAGTTTTCTTCTTATTTTTCTTCTTATTTGTCTCGATATGGTTTATGAATCGAAATAAATTTGCATTAATTGGTTTAGTGTGTTTAGCCCAAAAGAGCAATTTTTCTAGAAGGGCTATTAATTTCGTTTGGTATTTTGCGTCATCTACTATAAAACGGCGTTTTACTTTTCAAATTGTTGCCACCAAATATTAGAGTCCGCATTATATTTAAAGACACTAAATAATGAACAATCTGTATGAATGTATGTATATTTCTCACATTATGAAAAGCGACACTACCTAGAGACATCAAATTTTGAATAACGTACTCCTACACTCTATGGGAATTTTGAATTAATTTTATTATCTATTTCATATTTTGTAAACTAGCGAAGTTTTGATTAACAAACTCAATAATTTCAAAGCGAGCCATGGCAACACTGTACGAGAAAAAAATATTTTCATCTCCAGCGCGCGAGATTGTGAATCGGGAATTCTAACGATATGGTTTTTTTAAATATTTTGTGATATTGCTCTTTAATTGAATTTTATGATTTAAGCGCGAAGAACATGATTTTTAATAAATAAAGGTAACACACAAAACATCAAATAAACGCTCCTTTGAGCGTAATATAAAATCTGAAAGCCATCAGATTTCGTTTTTATTCCTTGAAATTATTTTTATTAACTTTTCTCAGAGTTTTATTAAATAGATTTTAATTTGTTCAGTCGATGGTTGATTACCATCATTACTCGTATTCTTTTATTTAACAAATATCTATGGAAGTTCTTATGCTAATAATAGAAATGAAGCATCTCTCCACAGGTATTTTCAATGAGGGTTAGAATAGATGAAGTAAGCATGACGTCACAAAACTGAAGCCAAGGAAATGTTAACAATGTGACGTCACGACTTATCATGGCCGCCATACGGCATACGAACAAGAGTACAAAACACATTGTTAAATAAAATTACACTGACATTGATAGCAAATATAAATGTTCGGAAGCTTAGAAGTGTCTTTAATCATAGTTTGCGTAAAATATTGTTGAAATTGCACTGGTCTTCTAGGTTTTACCATATCGTATTGTTAACATTTATACATCTTCTTGTACGTAGATTTTATTCACTTTGAAAGAATTATTTACAATCATTGTTATTTTTCTATGTACTAAGTAGAAAATCATTTGTGTTGAGTATTAAAATTAGAACGGGGCATTTATAAACATTTAATGATGAGTAGCTTACATTTAGACAACACCGGTTAAAAATGTAAACAAAACCAACCAGAAGCTTGCTTATGACAGCGGCCATGATTATGTTGTGACGTTATATGGCTTCATTTTCATTTCACGGGCATTCGGAGGAGGCATACGCCATTTATTCTAATCTCCTTCGGATTTTCTGTAAAATACAAGTACTTTTTGTGGCTACATTGAAATTTTTCACATTAAATGTCATTGATACCATTCCCGAAACACGAATCTGCATTTTTTGTTGTTTACATTTAAATGCTTTTTGGATGGCATTTTTGATGTCTTGCATATTATCAAGTGAAGGAAAAGTTATATTGCATTTACTGAGAGGAAGATTTCATAGTGCTAATATTAATTATGTTCTGCTTATCAAAAACGAGAAGCACGTATTGATGTAAATATATGAGAATTATTGCACAGAGTTCATACTTTCTTTAATTCAGAACCAAGCGTGCGAACTTTTAAAAGAACTTTCTCGAAACATTGTTTTGTATTTGCTTGATTATGACAAGATAGCAATAATAGTATTTTACTTCAAAGTTATAATAACAAGCAAGTAAATTTTTTCTTTAATTATTGTACCCAAAAAGCTTAACTACTTTTCCTAATGAGCTGTCCAAAACGAAAATTGAAATTTGTTTTGAGCTCTCGAAAGTGCCAGTATTTGCGCATGTGAGCACAGCAAGTAGCAGATTTTTTTAAAATGTGATAGAAAATAAATGTAAATTTCAAATAATTCTGATACCTTAAAAGAAAGGGAAAGGTTTAAACAAAAAATTTCATAAAAATAAAAAATAATTAAATATTAAAAATATAAAAATCTTATTAATGAAAAGTAATATTTTTATCTTTGTAATCATGTTCTAGTTTAACTTGAAATAATTAAAAAGTAAATATTTACAATAGCTCAATTAATTTAACCATCTGTCCCATGAAATTCAAAATTCAAAAAATGGAATCAGATGGTTAAAACGATCTCTTTAAATTTGCAATTCGAAACGGTAGAAAGAAACATATTGTTATGATACTATTTCACCATAAATTAACGCCATACGAAGAATTTGGGGTTTAGGCTTAAATATTCAAGACACTGATGTAAGTATCTCTTGCTTATGCGGCTTGTATTAAATATCTAGTAGTAAAGGAAGTAGTAACCATTTTTATTTTGTGAAAATAGAAAATTCATGTTGTCGAACAAAAGCGCCTCCTTTGAGGTGTTAAATATATTTCTGAGCTCCGTCTTTAAAAAATCTGATGTGGATAATAACATGACTTCGTTGTACGGCCTATTGAATTGCACCCCTTTTCTGCGGTACTTCGTTTAAACTTATTTCCTCGAATTTCATTAGATATACTTCTCATTCAATAAATTTAGTTCCGACTTCGTGGAAAGGCGAAAATTCATTAAAACACCAAAACTGTTTAAAAAATTATAGTTAAAATTAGAGTTTAGGTCGGCATAGATATATGCGTTAATGTGGCCGATTACAATAAAAAAAGAGAGGTGCAGAATTAGATGTTATGGCAGTTTTACATACAAAATTTCAATTTTCTACGGCTAATGTATTTTGAGTTACGCGAAATATTTACTTACGTACGTACGAACGTAGAGATATTGCTTACAGCCGAAAACATCGCGGAGGAAAACGTCGCCGAGAAAACAACGCAAGGAGAAAACGTCGTGTTACAAAACATCGTAGGAGAAAACATCTCAGAGAGAAAACATCGCAGTTCTAAAATATCGTGGTCGAAAATAAAGCTGTTAAAAATCTTCGCAGTTTAAATATATCGTTGTCCAAAATATCGTAGTAAAAAATAAAGTACCCGTAAATCATCGCATGACGATAACATTGCATACATGCGTTTTTCAAATTGCATAGTGACATATTATGTAACTGACATTCGTTATAACTAACAAATCGACATCCCAAAAATTGATTACACGCTATACATGAAAATGTTAACGACACTTTAAGAATAAACAGAAACAAAATTATATGTAATTTTCATGAAAACAATATCAGATCAACAAATGTGAAAGAAAAGAAAATAATTTGATCATTAACTAAGCAATTTTTATAGAAGTAACCTCATGCCGTTATTTATCTTCCCTTTTTCTAAGCATTTTTACTGTATTTTTCATGAAAAATTATCAATTATCAGTTAAACTTTAAAAAAAAAAGCTTAATTTATTAATGAATTTTGTTAGTTAATTATATAAATTAAAAATTAAGCTTTTTAAGTTGCATTAATTTTCTACTCCTTTTCAATTTTTAAATGCTTAAGTTTCCTTCTTATTCATTCAGGAAACATTTATTAGTTTGTTCAAATATATGAAATGTAGAAGTAAAAGAATCCCTCCTTCCTTCTTGCGCTCTATGTTCTTTATACGAACATGCATTTACAACTTTCAAAAACCTGAAAATGCATGTGTGCGATGTTATCTTCATGCGATGATTTGTAGGTACTTTATTTTTTACCACGATATTTTTAACGACGATGTTTTTAAACTGCGAAGTTTTTGACCCGCTTTATTTTCAACCACGATATTTTGTACCACAATTTTTTAGAACTGCGATGTTTTCTCTCACGATGTTTTGTTCCACGACGTTTTCCTTGCGTTGTTTTCTCCGCGACGTTTTCGGCGGATACCAAAGACATTACAAAGAATCCGTTATGAATCCATTTTAAATATGTTTTACAATTCGTTTTGGAATATTTATTTAGTTCGTATGTCAGATGTCTCGTAACAAAATCGTATAAATTGATTCGACAGCTGTCAAAATGAGTATTTCTGTTATAATATGATCCGCAAAATTTTTCACGATTACAATACTTCATTTACTTCGCACAAGGAAGTAAAAATGAAGTATCTTTCATCTGTCAAGTTCTGAACAATCCAGAAACGTAATTCAAAAGAAATCAGGTAAAATATGGCCCAGTATACGTACTTTAAAATGAAAAAGAATTTAAGAAATTCATTTTCTCTTGGAGAAATATCTAAACATTAAGACAGGCGGGAGATTCTCAGAAAAGAAAGTTTAGTCGGTAGTAGAAAGAATGAAATGTTTTCGAAGAGTCATTAGCACACAGAAAATTTCTTTTGGAGGGATGAGAGCGGATGAAACACTCACAGTTGCTTACTGTGATTCTTAAATTGCTCTTGCTGAAGCATTCTGGAAAGCTTCTGTATTTCATCGTTCAGGAAACGGTTGCGGTTTTGCAGCATCTCTAACTTCGACTTCAAGTTCTCCACTTCTTTTTGTGTTTCTTTAGCTCTAATTATGAAAAAAATAAAACAAATATTTTACATACTTATCATATAAAATGTGCATACGATAATATTGTTGTAAATAATATTGTTGTAAATAATATTGTTGTAAATAATATTGTTGTAAAGATAAATGAGCAGTAGTTATAGATTTCTAATAGTTTTTCAGATAGAAATAGTAAATAGTACTTTTCCAAAAATGCATGTACACTGCGAAACAAAAATTGGAGAGTTACATATCTCCCGTTCTACTGGGGCGATTGAAGAAATTCAACTCGCGTTTTTCATGTCTCAGAAGTGCGATTTTGGATATGTATTAGATTTATATATAGCATCGTTCTAATATAGGTATTTTGACACAATATCGGACGTCTTCTGAAATAACATATTAATCGTTTTACATATTTCGATTCTACGACTCAAATTACAACAAACTACCAAATTTTGTAAAAATCGCCAGTTTTTGAAAAATTAGCTCTCAAAATTTTAGCTTCTCAATGTTAATTGAGGGTTTGGGATGTATTTATTAAACTTATTTGATTCTTCCTTTCACATTTCGAAATTCAGGTTCATTCCAAATAAAATTCACCCATTTTTTATGATTGGTTTTTAAAATTTGTATTTTTAAATAATTTTTATAAATTTTTAATTTTAATTTTTAAAAGTTTTACCATCAACTTAAAGTAGATGTATTTCTAAGCATACCTGCAAAACATTACAGTTTTGTATTCAAAATTTCCGAAGATATACGGGAATTAGTATATTGGCACATTTTGAAATTTGCATATTTGTTGTAAGCGATAAAGCATCAAATGTGGTTTAGACACTTCGCTAAAATTATTTGGAAGTAGAAACGAAGTGACACTTTTTTCGCTCATGCACAATGTAAAAAGATAGGAACGAGGTGCCTTTTTTTTTCGCTCCGCCATAAAAGGAAAATTTGTTGCCACATGTTAAGAAGTTCGCCAAGCGAATTATTCTTTGCGCAAACCGAAAAAAAATTCGCCAAGATAAATTTTTCAATTTCTCCGTAAATTTCACACCAAACTTTACAAAATTTAAAATCTAGATGTAATTTGAGTCGTAGAATCGAAATAGGGAAAAAAATTGGTATGTTATTTCAGAAAAAGTCCGATTTTGTGTCAAAATACCTATGTTAGAACAATGCTAGATATAAATGTAATATATTATAAACTAGGTTGTAAGTACAATACTAAAAAGACCAATTTTGGTCAAACTCTTTTGCGCAATATGCTACAAAAGTAAGAAAACGAGAAGAGAAATTGTAGTTAGCTCGCCTAAAGGTTACCAGGAGCTGTGGCTCCAAGAAAAAGTTCAATACAGTTTTGTAAAAAAATTACATTGTATGAGGTGAAATATTAGGCTACGTGCGAAATAAAATGTAAATTATAAAACACAGTAAACTACTTATCATAGGAAACAAGTTAAAGGCAAAATATAAAACATAGTAAAAAACCAATCGATGGCACAAGTTTAAACATAAAAAAGTTAAAACATATAAAATTAAAAAGCGGAAAATGGTCAATTAGCTCAATTCGAGGTCCAACCTGGCTTTTCAAGGGAAATTTTGGTTGAACGTCGAACCAAGCTAAATCCATTACGCGTTTCGCCGAAACAGACAATTGAAACTTTGCGTTACGAAAAAAATTAATTAATTAGATAAACTGTCCTAAATGTAATATATATCCTAAGTCGCGCTTTCGAGACATAAAAAGCGCAATTTGAATTTTGTCAAACGGTCCAGTAGAAAGGGAGATATAGAATGTGTCTCTTTTTTGTGCAAGCGTAAATTATGTAATATTTCTTGTAAAATATGTCTGACTAATTTGGATAGATTCTTCTCAATTTCTTAAAGTGCTGAAAAAGGAGTTATATCTATCATCTATACTATCATTTTTCTTTAAAATTTTGATAACTCTGTCAGAGATGAGAGAACAAAATTATTCATGAGATGATATTTAGAATAATATATTAACCATAAGCCTTACATGGTGTGTACATTGATGAAGACAAAAATTGAAGTCAAAATTGACAAAATTGACAAAAATTGAAATAAATTGTTATTTACTGTGTATCACAGGTGACAGGTGACGGAGGATAGGACACCTGGTGTTTAACAGAGGTTAACAGGTATGTCCCTCGTCCTCTTCTCAGCCTTTATTGATAAATTTTATAAGCATCTTATAGTGCCAGAAGGGGCTTTAGTAAAGTTGTTCTACTTAAGTTAAGGCTTAATATATACATGTAATAAATATAACATAATAATATAATAATTGACGTTGTCATATTTATTGTGTAGCACATTTAAGTCATTGAAATTTGATTGTACAGCCATGCAATAAAAATCACTTTTGAAGATCTTGGTTATAATTATAGTTAATTTGAAGACGGCATTCAAAATAGGGCATTAAAATTTTGTGTTACATATAATTATCTACAGTTCAACTTTTCTATGTTAATATCTCCTCATAGAAAATGTAACATACAGTACAAATTAATTTAAAATTTTGGTAACAATAGCTGACAGAAACGGTCAACGTATGTCTTTTCCAGAGTATTACGTTGCAACGTATGACCAACGTATTACGTTGCAAAATATGTAAAAAATGACTTGGAATTTATTACTATCATATTTAGATATTTTAAATTAATCTTAAGCATTCTTTATTAACTTTTCAAAAAAAAAAATCTTCGCATATTTGGTTTGCATAGCGGTAACAAGTTAGGCATCTACATTTGCTATCTTTTCGAAAGGTTATGAAAACAAATACGATATTCTCCTTACGTATATAAAATACATACATCCTGAATGTGGCAGTTTTATGGAGCACTTAGATATTTAACATATTTCTTAGCCAATGATTATACTTTACTCCCGTACTAATATAACAAGTACAAAATGCCAACAATGGGAACTTAAATTCTGATCATTGAGAAATTTCTTCAGCATGACAGCAAATTTATTGAATATCAAAGTTTCGTTAACCATTGCAACTCTTTAACTACCATTTCACATAAAGCTGGGTTTCATTAAATAACTTTGGAAACGTTTGATTAAAAGTGATAGTTGCTTTAACTATCTCTCTAAAAGATTTCTCATTTAGAAAGCAGACTTACGAAGATATTATTATTGAACAAATAATCTTCAATGAAAGATTTCAACTTAGATCCAAATTACATGGAATCAAAATTGTAAGTCTTCGTGGGAAAGATATCAAATAGATATCCCTAACAAAAAAATTAAAATTGGAAACATTTTGGCAATGCGTAATAAAATGAAATGACTTGGCAGTATATCAATAATTTAATTCAAAATGTTCAAAACTTGGTATGTAGAATTGTTTCTGTTTGATTATTAGCTATAACAAATCAAGGAAAACATTTTGCTTGCGTTGAGGAAGGATGCCTTTATGAAGCACCTTATAACGGAAAACGGCTTGCATTCACTTTTGTTTTGTTAGGGATATCTATTTGATATCTTTCACATGAAGACTTACAATTTTGACTCCATATGATTTGGATCTAAGTTGAAATCTTTCATTGAAGATTATTTGTTCAATAATAATGTCTTCGTAAGTCTGCTTTTTAAATGAGAAATATTTCAGACAGATATTTAAAGCAACTATCACTTTTAATCAAACGTTTCCAGAGTTATTTAATGAAACCCAGCTTTATGTGAAGTGGTAGTCAAAGAGTTGCAATGGTTAACGAAACTTTGATATTCAATAAATTTGCTGTCATGCTGAAGAAATTTCTCAATGATCAGAATTTAAGTTCCCATTGTTGGCATTTTGTACTTGTTATATTAGTACGGGAGTAAAGTATAATCATTGGCTAAGAAATATGTTAAATATCTAAGTGCTCCAAAAACCTTCCCCATTCAGGATAATTGTATTTTATATACGTAAAGGGAAATTCGTATTTGTTTTCACGTTATGAGTGGGGTAAAATACATAAATCTCACAAAGCAATGCTGTTGAGTGGCATCTAAATTGGGATAAAATACCACTATTCAGTTATTTGGTATTCACTCCGCCACTTGCCAAATAATTTGAAGACAAATAATTTGAAGAATCATAGTGATACTTTAAATTATTCTTGGATGGGATAGAACAGCACCCCTTTCCATATGTACAAGTAGTTTAGTACCAAGAACATATACCATCGATTGGAAGGTTATAAACCATTTTCTTCCTTCTTTTTGCATTTCTTGGTGGTGTAACGGTGGCACACTAGGCGCGTATTCGAGAGGTCTAGGTTCGAGTCCCGGCGAAGGCACTGCTCATTTTTCATGTTGTCCTGCTTCAAAAAAATCCTAATGACTCTACAGGGAAGCCCGATGGGTTCCCTAATCCGCAATCACTTTTTAAAAGGAGGAATATATAAGGTATTTTCTTCCTCCTTTCTGCATGCCTTCATGGTGTAAAGGTGGCACATTCGGCGCATATTCGAGAGGTGGTCCAGGTTTCGATTCTCGGCGATGGCATTGTTCATTTTTCATGTCTTCCGCTTCAAAACAGCGTAAAGACTCTACAAGGTTTCCAGTTTAATTCCTGACAAAGATGCAACTGAATTCACAAAATTCTTCCTTGAAAAATATCTGGCACTGTTTGTGTTTCAAAAATGCTGTAATGGCTTCGGTAGAGTTGCCTAGATTGCGAAATGGAATGAAAAAAAAAAAAAAAAAAAAACGGAAAACAAAAGAACAAAAAGAGTAATTTTATAGCAGAAGTAATTACCTCTCGCCTTTTAACTTCCGTATCTCTGCTTCTTTCTCCTCCAGGGCTACTTTACAGCAATTTTCTCGGTTCAGGCACTTTGCTAACTCACATTTTACAGATCTGAAAAAGACGTTAAAAGTAAATTAATAAAAAGTTAAAAGTAAATTGCATAGCTACTCGATTACCAAAAATCTCAACAAAGACAATAATAATAATAACAGCTTCATAGTACACGATTAAAGTGTCACTAAATCGTGCAATGTTGAATTATCTATCATATAAGTTGCTGGTAAATGCAAGATAAAGAATGGATGAGTTACGAAAGGCATAATTATCGAGGAGGTAACTTCTGTCATAAGGAGGAAATGACTACACGCTCATGGATTGCAAAAACATCTGCGTCGCTCTCAGACACAATAAGAGGCAACAACAGCAACTAGGAGATCTGATATGGTAAAGTTTACAGATACGGTGCGGTATTGCGATGGATATATTAGTGTACGTACATCAATACAATACCAGATATTTATTAATGATAACAAGTGGCTTTGTATAGCGTTTTAATTGTTACGTAATCAGAAATGATGTACTATCATCTGACGACAAATCCATGGGATCAAAGGGCCACATCAGTAATAGCACGACGACCGCTCAGATACTATTGGATGTTGTGTACCGGTATATCTGATTTGTTGCTAATTGCCTTATGGATGACCTGCAGATCGGGGACCTCCGCACTTCCGAACTTCGGAATACAGAGACCAACCACCTGCGGTCTGAACGTAAGAATATAAAACTACTAACTAAAACTCTAACTAAAAGCTAACTTTGAATTAGTATACAAATGCCTAGCACTAAGACCGGCCTTTATTTAAAAGGGTACGTATGTAGTACGGCGAGCTGCTGAAACTACAATACGATTGCAAATATCAAGAGGGCTAAACCTCTGGCCTTAAAGGCAACCAGCAACCGAGTGAAAACTCGTAAAACTGCAGTGTCAAGTGGCTTGCTTCCTAAATCTCCTTCTCTCTCTCTCTCTTGGCAAAAAGCCACAACTTAAGTACTTGGGCGTCCTAAATCTCCTTCTCTCTCTCTCTCTCTCTCTTGGCAAAAAGCCACAACTTAAGCACTTGGTCGTTAGCGAGACAATTTGCATAAACAAGTTAAAGCATTTAATTCTGTCCGGAAGTAGAAAATGAGAAGTGATAGCACAGTTTTACAATAAAATAAACGTTAGTAAAACTAGGATCTTTACACTATGACACTGTTTTTAAAAGAAATAATGCTTCACTATGTACTCTTATTAACGATAATAATCTTTTACATGTTTCATAGATTTATAAATCATTCAAAGTTCGAAACAATAGACTAAATCAGCGTTTCTCAACTTTCAATATTTACGACCCAATTTTCAATCATAATTTTCTTCACTTCCTCTCTCATACAATAACAATGCATATAACAATAATACATTTTGAGTATTTTGATGCTATACTACACTATGAATTTAATTACAAGTCTTACAAACTCCTGAGAATAACTAAATTTGTAAATATTTGGCAATACCGATCTGCTACCGGAAACAGAATCGACGTCTCTCTCTGTCCCTTCTGTTTTAGTCCATGATTTGGACATTCTCCCAGCTTAGCAAGAAGTTCCGATTTGAATTAACACATTCGGGAACGTCTGCATGACAGTGACGCAAACATGTTTAAATGCTCCACTTCTTTCAGTCCCAGACAGTCTTAGAGTAGTCGATCCTTCTATTGCTATCGAATCTTTCCAGAATGTCTGTGTTTTAATTAGCGCATTAATTGCAATTAATAGCACTAGATTTACACAGAATCAGGAATAAATTATTAAGTGGGCGTATTAAACAATTGTGAAGCATCAATAAGTCAGAGACGAGAGTGGTTCCAAAAGTAAAATCAAGTATTTATGAAGAATACATAATTTTTGGATTTACCAGTACTGAAGTAAAAAAAAAGAAAGCCCACTTGTCATTTGTTCAAACATGTTGGAAGCGGACAGCATTAGACTTAGTAAATTTAAACAATATTTGAAAACTCTTCATAGTGAATATGTTACTGTGAAAGACCGAAATTGGAGAATGTCGACTTTCACCGGAGAATGTCAACATTCACTAAATACGTCGGTGAAAGATCGAATATTTCTTTACATTCTTGTACATTCGGACTCTCACCGGTGTATGTCGACAATCACAGATATGCTCTGGTGTAGGTCGAAAAGAGAGGAGTATAAGTACACGTTGCCATTCCAAAAGGAAGTGTTCCACAAATAAATGCAGTTGTAAAAGCAAGAGCCTCTTGTGCAATTCAAAGTGTCATAATAGTTTAAGTTGTTGCAATAAATAAGATATGAATCACATAATTTGGTAAGTTTATAACTTCTATTATTTTCCTTTCTCATTTTGAATGTACGTGTGTGTTTTAAGTTCTTATCTTCTTAAGTTCTTATTCTGAGTCTCAAGTGCGTTTTTTCGCGAATGAATTACGGAGAAGGAAATATAATATTCTTATTTTTCAACATTCACCATTAGTACATGGTGAATGTCGACATTTCACCGGTGTAAGTCAGAAATAAGAGTATTTGGAAAATATTTCGGACATACACCAAGCGACTATGTGAATGTTGACATTCACCGGTGAAAGTCGACATTCTCCAGATTTCGGTGTTTCACCGTAACAAATACACTACAAAAAACTGAGAATTCTTCGAATTGAAATTAAAAGCATATGAAAAGGCAAAAATAATTAAAAAAACTATGTTTGTGAATGAGAAAGGTTTAAGGGTCCTTACCTTTAACTGCAATTATAGGAACTACGTTTGGGAGTAATTTTACCAAGCAACTGCTGTCCATATCTTTACCAAATAATACTGTTACCTGTCGAATTGGTGATAGCTAAAGGTGCACAGCATCAGAGTTTCAAGAAGTTGCATGACAAATTGCTTTCATCCCAGTTTGATAAGCTAACATACAACAATAAGTAAGCTCGTTTCATTGTCTATGTTCGATTTTGTGATGGTATGTCAGCTGTAGAGGAATTACGATTTTTTTGCAAACCATTAGAACTCAAAGCGGCAGCGCTCGTATTATTTGCTCTCTTAGAGGATTTTAATAACCGAGGCAAACGTACGAGGGGAAAAACTGCATCGGAATATTCCCGATAGTGCTTGTTCCATACTTGGAACACCGGTATTCATGAGTTATGGCAGTGCGACCCAATAAAAATGCAGATAACCCCAAAACATAATTTCGCCAACCTAATCAGAAAGTCGAACTTTAGTTATATTCCCTCAGTTCAGATTTTTATGCATTTTGCGATTCGAATATAAATTTTTTGTGACCAGAAATGGGGGCCCCTATTTTGAATACCACTGCTCTGGAAGATTCCAAAGCATACGAAACAAAAATCTCCACAATTGTCTGGACAACAGAATGCATGATCCACACAGAAACTCTGGCTTCTAAAAAAATTAGTCCTGGTCTAAGTATTGTGTTAACGGCAGTCCTAACCGTAGTAAACTGTATAAAAAGGAGATACCTAAAATCAAGTTTCTTTTCGGCATTTTGTAAATAAATGGATGCAGTACGTTCAGCGTTACTATTTTATTGCGAGGCAAGATGGTTATCACGTGGAAAACATTTTCAACCTATTTATTCACTAATAGACGAAATCGCTATTTTCTAGAAGAGGAATACCGAGATGGTTCTTTGCAATGAAACCGAACTACTTGGTTGACACTTTTGAAAAATTAACTACCTTAAATCTTCAACTCTAATGCGTAAACATGGATATGCTGGATAAAGTTAGTGCCTTTTGTAGAAAATTGGAATTATGAAACAGAAATTTAAAACAAAAATAGGTACAAGCATTTGGAAATGTGGATGAAAGAGTTAAAACATACAAGGTTGAAGACAACATATGAAAGTTGTTTTGTAAGCACTGAAAATCATTTAGCCATGCTGGTAAAGAATTTTGAAAAGTAGTTTCTTGCTGACATCTTGGAAGTAAGTTACAAGTGGGTTAGCAATCCATTTCAAATCTCTTCCGAAGGTCTCTCAGCTGCCGAGGAAGTAATCTTAAAAAACTTCATGGCAAGTGGCGAAATCAAAAGTTAATTGAGTAATAAAAAACTCTTTTCATTTTGAGAAAGGGTGGGAACGAATTTTTCGCGCTGGCTGCTTTAAAGAAGAAAATATAGGTTTCAGCTAAATATAGGAAAAAAACTCAGATAGTCCATTCCTAATATTAAACCTTACTTCGAAACACTTTGCTCTGCAAGGCAGACCTAAGAGAGTCACTAATAATTATAAAACCTGTTTTTGATTTAATACTGATAAGTTAATTATTAATTACATTACGCAATACTGATGGAATCTTGTTTAAAGTGTGCTACATTAGTGTAAATGTGTATTTTATTTTATTATTTCAGGATGGATTTCGCATTTCTTTAATTAATTAATCAAAGGGGCTTTGTCCCTGAGGGACTATTGTTTTTGCTTTGCGATTTTGCGTCGAATCACTCTGAATGTCCGTTTCACTTTTCAAACTGTTGCCACCAAATATTACGGCCCTATATTATATTTGAAGAAAGTTAATAATGAAGAATCTGCATAAGTGTATGTATGTTTCTCGCATTGTGATAAAACAACGGTACCTACAGAAATCCAATTTTGAATGACGTAATCCTACTGCGAATATGGGCATGTGGAAGACCAAATTTGGGTATTTGTTTTATCGATTGCATATTTTGTAATTTCATATTTGAATGTTTGAGTAACAAACTCAACGATTTAAAAGCGAGCAATGGCAACACTCTACGGCGGGAGGGAGGGAATCTTTTTATCTCACGCGCGCGCAACTGTGTATCAAAAATTCTAAAGATAGGCTCATTTTAAAATTATTTTGCGACAATGCTGTTGAACTGTATTTAATGGTTTAAGTGCAAAGAACATGATATTTTATAAATAAAGATAACACACAAAACGGTAAAAAACGCCCCTTTAGACGTAATTTATAATCTGGAACCTTTCAAATTTTTTTCTTTTCGATATGTTCGCTCCCCTTATTTAATGTTATCATGATTCCTTAATT